GGGGCTGGGCTCTGCTCCCAGGGGATCAGGGACAGGACAAGAGGGAACGGCTGGAAACTGCCCCAGGGGAGGGTCAGGCTGGGCAGGAGGAGAAAATGTTTCCCAGACAGAGTGGTCCGAGAGTGGAACAGGCTGCCCAGGGAGGGGGGAGTCCCCATCCCTGGGGGGGTTTCAGGGCCGTTGGGATTAGCTGAGGGGGATGTGGGGTAGGGGAGAACTTTGTAGAGTCGGGCTGAGGGTTGGACTCGATGATCCCGGGGGGCTTTTCCAACCTGAGTGATTCTGGGATTCGGACTTTCCTGCGGGAAGGCAGTGGCCAGTTCGTTAATGCCTTTATCCAGTGAGGTTCGGGCCCCCTGTGCTGGCACCGTGGGGGCTGCAGACCGTCCCTTTCCAAGTGACACCAACGAAGGAGCCACTTCCCTCTGCTCCAAACAGGCGCTCGGCAAACAACCCAGGGCATCAGGAGCAAGAGGGCTGGCGAGGGGCGAGGGGCTGTTCTCTCTGGGACGACAGCACCCCCCCCAGAATGGGTCCTGCTGGTTTTAGTGCCTCTCCCAGGGCTCCAGGTTGTCCTGACACTATTACCAACACTGCGAAGCCCCAGCAGGACTGAGCAGCCAACTCAAAAGCAATCAGCCCGTGTCTAGAGAAACACCTTTTTGTCCCTCTGCCATGGCTGGGGGGATGCTGACGGCCCTTGGGAGCTGCGCCGGGAGCTGCTGGGCTGCAGGACGGCAGCGAGGAGGCTCAGCCCCAGCACCCTCCCGCCGTCTGTGGCAGGGGAGGAGATGTCCCAGGCAGGCTGCAGGTCTTTAGGGTTAGGAGAGTCATCAAAGTACAAAGTACAACAGAAAGTACTGCAGCGACAGGAAAAATACAGCGACTCCCTAACACACCCCCTCAGACCCTTTGCTGGGGTTCCCCATTTTCCCCAGTGCCTCCCCCCCCCAGTTCCCCATTTCTCTCTCTGTTATCAGTCAAGAAATTCCCAAGTTAAAATTCAGCGGACTTCAGAAACCAAGGGCAAAAGTTTCATACACTCCAGGCTTGTCTGTTCTCTCCTCCCTGCCTCACACCACGTATTTCTCAGTTTCTTTGTGACAATAAAGGAACGCTGAGAAGTTTGGGTTCTGCTTTCTTAAGAAAAATCTCCCCCTTGCCAAGACCAGGACTGTCTTGCTCTGGCGCTGCTTGCCCCTGTAAGGCACTTGCTGGGGTCCTCACAGATGTTTTTTGTCATCTCTCTGAGGTTTGGAAACTTTGATGATGACTTTCCCTGTGAGAAATTTTAGCTGGTCTCCAAACAACTCTGTTAATTATAAGCAGCGCAGAAAAGGCTGGGACCTAGGGACAAGGTTTTTGAGTGAAGTTCCTTCTGCTCCAGCTTTCCCTCTCCATCCTTGCATAAAGTAACGCCAAATGAAATATATTATGTAATAGCAACAAGCAAGAACGAAACCATTTAGGCCTCAAAACAGCCGTAAACTCCCCTTCCCAAAGTGACATTCTCAATTATTCAGTTTTCTCTCCTTTTTGCCACCATCCTTAACGTCATCCTGCAGATCAGGTTTTGTCCAGTGCTCCAATTCCCCTGCAATGAAGCAAATAAGTAATTGCTTGCATCTGCCCTGCTTGCAGGTCTGTAGGAACTGTAGGGCTCTCAGCTCACATCCCCCTGGGCTAAATTAGAAGACATCAAAGCTCCCGGTCTTTGATGTTTTCGAGTCCTTTCCCAAAATGTCCCTGATGGTCATTTGTTCCTAAACCATGTCTTGCACAACCAGATTTGTAGTTAAAATAAGGCTTGAGACTTCCCACAGACGTGACCAAACTACAAGAAACCCATGGCTGCAGCTGGCTGAGGCAAAGGACGGGCAGACGTCACAAATCCAGATTCTGCTGACCCCACCCCACCAAGCACCCAGAGCCCGCGATGCCAGCACCCTGCTCTGCCACGCCAGAGCCAGCGTGCTTTTGGCTCGAGCCGATGGTCAGCAGCCAAGCAATTAAATTTCCCCTCCAGCCCGTGGCACGAACACAAAAGCCTTTCAGGAGCGTCGCTCCGCTTTCGGCACCCGTGGCTGGGAGCTTGCGCAGAGCCCATCCGTGCGGCACTAAGAGGAGAGATGACGCTGTATTTCGTGCTCACGGGTCGCCGTTGATACCTGCAGCCTGCAAGGGCTTTGCTGCATTGCAAACACTTCGCTCGAGATGTTGGGTTGCAGGCCAGGAGGAGTGTTGCTGGTGTAAATCCAAGGCAGCTTCTCCGAATCCACGGCGTTATGCTAGATTTATGAGGAAATTATGGAGCTGTGGCTCTTTGGCATCAAAAAGGCCCATCTTTAGGGCTGATGCTCGTTCCCAGCTGCCTGCCATCACCAGAAGAATGCAAAT